TTTTTTTTTTTTTTTTTTTTTTTTAAACTCACGTGGGATCAGGTGAGGCAGAAATGGTAGAAAACAAATTAGAGAAAAGAGATGAAACTAATGTACATGGGAACTGAAGTAACAGATGCACAGCTAGCCTGAATGCTGATTATTCTTTGGTGCTCTTAAAAGTCAATGGAAGATGTAGTGCAAGTTAAGATACTGACCTCAAGTTCCATTTCTGATGCAAGTGATTAAAGCAGACAAACCCAAGTTCTAATTGGCATTTTGTACATACAAAGATATGCAGGATTTGCTTTTTTTCCTTCATCTTCCTTATTTCTGTAGCTCTTGTGGGTGGCATCTTTAGAGACAGTTGCCTCACAACTGATGAGAAGTGAAGAGTGAGAAAAATTCTTCAACTAAGCCTAATAGTTTAATAATTAATACAATTCCATACTGTATGTGTGTGTCATTTATTTATTATGTTACAGTTATTTAACATATAGATCATAATATAATTTTATGTGGTCAGCAGGTGTGCTACGCAGGAAAATATTACAAGCCATTACCACCTTGTATATTAGGCACTTGAGGAATGCTTGGTTGAGACAAATGCCAAAATACATTGAGAATCTGCTTTCTCCCAGTTTCCATATTCTAAAGAAACCTCAAAAATGCCTTGGGGTTCCCATTTAACTCTGTTTTGTTCCCTGTCAACATCTTCCACAGATTTCTCTTTTCCTTTGCAGATACCGGAAGGTTGTTTCTAATAACTGCACGGATGGTGTGAGGGAACAGTACACAGCAAAACCACAGCAGTGTCCTGGAAAAGCCCCCCAAGGCCTTCGCATAATCACATCTGATGGCAAACTGACAGCTGAGCAAGGACACAATGTCACTTTCCTGGTGCAGCTGGAAGAGGTAGGCTCTGTTTTCATGTTGCATCCCGGGCCCCATGAGTGTGTTTTAATCTGAATCATGTCAGACAAAGTTTGCAAAGTGGTGAAGAGATGAACCAAGAGTGTGTGGGATAAAGTCAGTCAGCTCCATGATGTAGCTGCGGTGGAGTTTACTCTAAAATATGATGGGTGATGGTATGGAGATGATGAGACAGGAAGAATATTGCGGTGTGTAGGCTAATAGCTGGGAGAAGTTGATAAGCTGGAAACTGGTTTGGTCTGGGAATTTCACAGTAGAACTGGAGAGTGCAGGTTTGAATTCCGATCCCCACCTTTTACTGTGTATTTGACTTCTTAGCTTGTTTGAAGCTGAATTCCCATTTTTACTTTCCACTGACTTTCAACCAAATGTATGTAAAAGTAAATCTGTCCCCATCACACAAGTTGGTATGTATAGTTTAGGTGGTTGTAGAAGAAATCTCAAGATTTCATCATCAGCAATAAGTCTGAAATTGATTGCTAATGTGAAGCTGTTTCAGGCTCTGATCAGAGCTTATGTTTTTGTTTCATCTTAACTTGATCATTCACTGTTCTGCTCCTCAATTTCTGAGTCCTTAGAAAAGAATGGTTAAAAACTTTTCACCTGTTTTTACTCTCAGCATTTCTTTTTCTATTTTTAACTGTAGGCTCCCAAATAATAAAATTCACAAACTAACTATTTTCTCTTCTTCTCTAATCAATTTGTTTTCTTTACACTTTCACCCTTTCTCCTGTGTAGTTGGCCAATAAATCCTTGAACATCTATACTTTTCACTAGGGCACAATGTGCCTTGCTTTACAGCTTAGAGCATTCATGGAAATTACTTCTGATCCTCTCCATAGTAAATGTCATCTGTAGTAAGGAAAGAGAAATGAGAATGACCTCTGGAGCTGAATTTTGTAAGGGTTGTGTTGGGTTTTTTTACATCTCTATTATTGATGCTTTCCCCAGCATACAGGTGTCCTGATTTGTAAAGGCAATAACATATAATAAATCATATCTAACCTGAAGCAGTTGTTTGACTTGAATGTTCATTTTCTCAAAAATGTGGTCACTTTATTCCAGTAGTGACAGTCATACAACTTTGCTACTGTAGATGCTGTCACAACAGTATAAGCATATAACTTCATCTGGATAAATTATTGATTTCTGTGTTCAGAGATGGAGAGTAAAAAGTCCAAAACAAAACTCAAAGTCTACAGGCTTTAAAGAAAAAATATTACAAAAGGAAAAAATCAAGCAAGGTGTTGTTATATACTCCCAAGAAAAAGTATTCATTGCATTGCCTTTCTATTCTCAGCAAAGTTTTGAAACAGATTGAGAGACGGAGATGGGTAATCTGAAAAGTCAGTCACAAAGCAATCAAAGAATTATGCCAACAGCCAGAGGGAGAGACAATTGTCCACAGTGTGGGAAACTCAAGACAAATGTCCTACTCTTTCTTCTCTGAGCATTTGAATTCACATAACCTGTAAGGATGCCCTAACCACTCACTTATACAGGGAACTTCTGCGAATAGTTCTCTTTTCTGTTGATTCTGATCTTTTTTGATAACCCTGCTTCAGTATTCACTAGAGTCTGAAAGCAACACCTTCTCCATTAGGAGATGAAGTCTTTCTCATGCTGTGTATCAAGGAATACGTAAAGTATGTTTTGATGAGCGAGATTTTGAGAAGATCTAAAGGGGGGCTTCTTCCAGTGTATCTGATAAAGAAGAGGTTAGAAATTTCTCAATAGTGTTTCTCTTGAAACACTATTGATCAACCTTCAGTCTTTCTGATCATTCTCCCTCTGTGCTGGTTTGACTTAGCATGAGGCCAGTTTTCCTTCTACTGATTTTTTTTCCCCTACACCCTGCTAGATTAATCTTGACCTCCTGCTCCTGGATTTGTCAATATAAAGAGTTTACAGAAGAACCAACATAATTTGTGAGTGAATGTGACCCAATCTCACAACGACTTTTGGCTGATGTTGCAATAAAAGGAATATTAAACAAAGAAGAAAATTTAGCCAGCTATGTGCAAGCTGTGGGAAGAAAAAATTGTGGTTATAGCAGCATAATAGTATATACACTAAAGCATTTACTGAATTAACTGTTTCTGTAACACAAATCATGCCATTCGCTAAAAAAGTTAAACAGCTCAGCAAAAGAACATCCACCCTTTTATAAAGTAAGTATTGATCTCACAAAATCACAAAATAATTGAAGTTGGAAGGGATTTCTAGAGATTGTTTTGCCTAACCCAACTTTGAAAGGGATGTTTCTTTCCCTTGCAAACAGGGCAGAGGTATCATGAAACAAGAACTTGCCATTTTCTGTTTAGTTCTGCCTGGGACAGGCCAACAGCCAGGTACAATCCAGGATGTTCAGCATCCACTGAATCTATGCCATTCCATTTTTGCTGAAGAGTAAGGCAAATTTTAAAAGGCTTGCTATCTCTGCGTATGCATGTGTGGTTTTTCCCAACAGCACATGAAGAAAGTGTATCCTGTTCCGCCTTTGGTGGTGAATGTTTTTAAGTGCTTCCCACTGGTGGGGACTCCTCCTTTAGCTTGTGTCACAGTTAGTATCTTTTAAGTTGTAAAAAAAGCAGCAACCTTTGCATATGTTGAAGTCCCTTTGCATCATATCATCTCTTGTATCCCTCTGAGACTGTTTCAAGCCTTCAGATCTGCAGACCTGTTCCATACACCACAGCCTCCCAGCTCTCTTTTTTTCATAACTATATTCCACTTGACCTCAAAGAAAAAATGTAAGAAGCTGGTGAGCCAAGGTACAGGAGTTTGTTTGAGATTTGTACTCCTATTATCTTTCTAGGGCTTTCTGCTACTTCTGAGGACCCGCTAGGGTCTGAAAAGAACTGCAGAGGCAGGCTCACTAAAAAACTGTTTTCACTCAGGTGGTGGATTCAGGGGCAGGAACCACAGCACAGGGGTTTCTTGTAGAGCCTGCTTGTCCCTGTAGTGATGCTGAGGGTCAGGACTGTGTCATTCTGACCATGACACAATGTCAATAAAAGATGTCTGAAGAAAGAAACAAGGACAAGGCATTCAGAAGTGTTCTGTTATTGAAGATGACACAAAAGGAAAATAATAATTGAAGTCTGTGTGAGCGAAGGGGGCACAGGCACTAAAACCAGCAGTGCATAGAGCATTGCTGATTTCTGAGAGCTGGGATTCTGGCCCAGTTTCTCTAACTGGCTCACATGAAATTTTCCTATGAAGGATTTATATCTCACAACATATAATATCGTTAAAAGCAAAAACAATCAACAAATCATATTTAAATTATCTGAATGTGAGGATGCTTTGCAAAGTGCTTGAACTTCTCTGTCACATTTTAGAATTTCTAGATAACTTCTTAAAAACTGCTTGCAAAGTCACCTTGCAATTGATATCTTTGATTCTATTACTGGAAAGGTTTGTTCAGGTTCATTCTCCTATTAATCTGGGTATAATCATAATTACATTCTTACTGGGTGACAACAGCCTAGAAGCATCAATATTTCCTTTTATAATTAGCGTGTGTCTCATTGTACAAAGCTTTATGGCAGTGGTTAATAAGCAGAGCACCATACTTAGGCTGGTAATTTTGCTCTTAAATTTCCATTGAGCTAAGCAGAATAGCAACAGCATCTCTGTCACTAAATAGCAGCACAGGAGAAAACTCGTTATTCTTAAAAGCAAGTTTTCCCAATGATTCAAACTGCTGCCAGTTTAAAGGTTAATGCTTTGTCCTGGCCTGTATGTACAGACCCATGGCTGGGATTTCTCATACTGCAGCATTCAACAACATGGGATTCAACAACCTGAACAAACTGAGTCCTTAGTTTATTTTTACACAGCAACAAAAGAAACACAAATTAAAAAATTACAGACTTTTTTCCGACTGAAGTTCTTCAACCATATCTTATTTTGCTGCTCTGTTATAGAAAACAGAGGAATTTTATTAAGTGAATGTCGTCTCTTTGTGCCTTCTTCATCACATGGTTATGCCTGTCTTGCCTGTCACAAACCCTGTTACTATTTGTGTGTTTGAGTTATTTGTATGAACATCAAACACTTGTGCTTGCTGTGGTGCTCCAGCAGAGACCAAAACCTGCACCCTCCAGAACAACAATATTCAACCCAATGGCATTCAAACTTGTTTCATCTGATTCCTCATGCATCTTTGCTGAGAAAACAGATAGTAAAGACACTCAGGGTAGAAAATTTCAGGGCTTTGGCTGGTTCATTACAGATAATTCACAGAGAAACTGTCTCCTCTAATTTATTTTTTTATCTTGAGAAAATGCCAGCCAAAAGTCTTTGACATTCCAGGTCTGCCTCACTTCTCACTTGACAAGGCCATTCCACTTGCAGTAGATTTTAGCTTACTTTTAACTACTTGGTGCTGCTGTATGATGTTAGTATTAGCCTAATATGTAGGGAAAACTCATTTGTTCCTACAGTTCCAGCCATGGGCTAGAACTCTGGCATTCTGAACTCATTCCTGAACTGCACTCTGGGCTCTTTCTGTGTAACTTTGAGTAAGAAATGTAACCTTTCTGCTTTTTATGTTGCTTCCTTTGAAAGGAAAACTTTGCTTTCTACTTCATTCCCTCCATACTATTATTTAGGTGCTGAATGCTCATAAAGCCAAAGGACTTTCTCTTACCATGTGAATATTCAAATTGAGCCCTGAACTCCCTAAAGACCACTATGGTTTTCTGTAGTGACAATGTTAATAAATGGCTGTAGAAGGTATGTTGTATGTCAGGTACATTTAACGAGCTTAGGGACCTTGCTGAGAGGGATGATAGATACCATTAGCATTTCCCACCTCAGCATTGTTGTTTGATGCAATTCAAAATTGAACTTGGCTGAAGTCTCTGGAGATGTGCTTAGCATTTTAATTGTTTTGATTGTTGATGTAACTAAATTAAAGATGCAAAGCTAGTAGTACTTAAAAGCATAGTCTGTATTTTTTTGTTGTACCCTAC